ATCCTGCTCGGGTCACGCAGCGATTTTCATTCACCGGCTGCTGCCCGGGCATCTCTGCCCTTCACCCCTCCACCGCTCCGGCTGCAGGAGAGGGAAGGGAAGAGCCACGCTCCATGTCACCATTCAGAGTTACTCCAATTTTTCAATGCCACAAACTGGTCATATTTGAACAAAGTTCAATTGGAACCCATAAATTTGAAGTTTACGAGTACGAGGCCAGGCATACAAGGCCAGCTGCAGCACTGCTCCAGCACTCAGCACGGTGGTTGAAGGAGCTCGGCAGCACGCTGCTCCACATTTTGAACAACTATTTGGCCTGAAAATTAAAAAAAAAACCTAGCATGCAGTCCATTTTAAATTTATTTTTTTTTAGGCACTGTCTACATCTCTGCCTTCCACCTTTTTGGCTCTAGTTTCAGACTTTCTTCCCAGGAAAATGTTTGTAAAAATAATTTGCTATAATTAGAAAAATGTTTCATTGAAAATTCATTACTGGATCCCTGTCCTGCCACTTGGAGTTAGGCAGGCTCCAAGACAATTTTCTCTGTGACATGTTACTGCTGAGCTGACAACCAAAGTGATGCCCGTGTTTGTTTCAAAATAACCGGGTTTTTTGAATTCCAGCTCCCAGAATCAAATGATGCTGTGAGGTTTGCTACGTTTATTAAAAATTATTGATTCTAGCCCCCCGTGCCTGGTGAGAGCCCTGACTCCCAACAAGAATGGGAATAACAAGAACTGGATATATATTAGTTTGATGGTCTCTCATGCAATATCTCCTCAGACACGGTAGTGTTGCTGACAATTATTACTCTGCCTGTTCCTAAAACTCTCAGTATTTGGCCCCCAGAACCATCACTCGCACAGCCCCTGCATCCTGTGCTGCGGAACACCGGGGGGTTATCACCACTTCACCCCCCAGGAGAAGGGGGACTGTCCCTGCAAGGACAAAATCCATTTGGATGATGTGACCAAGCCCAAACGATGCCTGAGTTTTAGGTCTTCAAGTGCTCTGAGTGAGGAGCTCTGGGATGCCGGGGTCAGCACAAAGGCTCCCCAAAACTGGAAACCAGCAATTCTAGCCAGGATGAGTGGTCCCTTCACCATCCCTCTGCACTGGTACAGAGCCCTTTGGGTACAGCATCCCACTGCCCCCCTGCACTGACACAGCTCAGCATCCCACTGCTCTTCCCATCCCAGAGCTTCACTCCCAGCAAAGAAAAGCAAAGCCCAGTTCGCTCATATTTGTTAAAAAAAGAGGGAGATGGGAAGAAAAGGCAGCCCTTGAAACACATCCCCCCAACCCAGGATTTTGAGCTTTCAATATCCCTTCAGGTCTGGGACTTTTCAAACCCAGCAGAGCAGGCTGGGGCTGAGGGATGGTGACTCTCCGACCAATTACAAAGTAATTAAAAGACCCACCGTGGGCTCCACAGAGAAAGCTTTGCATATGGACTTTAATTATTATACCACAGTCTTGCCAGAAAAACACAAAAGAGGATCTGAGGCAGCTCAGAGGATGCATATGGCTTGTGTAGGTGGAGAAAGCTAAGAGACTGTTACTTTGGGTAGGAAGTGGATTTTCTCTCTCCTATAATCTTGTTAAATTACCCTGTTTTTAAATCAATGATTTATATCTCTCTCTTCAAATCCAGAAGGGGAAAAAAAAAACCTCTCTAAACAGCAAGTATGTGACAAGCAATACATTTTCACTTTCATTTATCCTCACATTGCAAAGTTCACTCAGCAAACCAAAAGTGTTAAAGGAAAATACTGGGAAGGACTGGTTAAAAAGAAAACCTTGGCTGAAATGAGATGGAAAACAGATTTCCCGGGTTAGGCAAGTATCAGAAAATAATACATAATGTTAGACATCTGAAAAAAGGAAGTAGGAAAATATTTAGGAATTTGCATAACCATTTGCAGCCTAAGAAAAGCACAGAAAAACAGTTTCATTACGAAAGGATATTTCAAATAGGCGGCCGTGCCGGGAGGGGCTGGGCTCCGTCATCCTCACCAAGAACCGGTGATTCCCCGTGCACAGCACTGCTTTTCTTGCAAGTGCCTGTGTAAAAGTGGCTGAGGATTCCCAAACAGACTGTCACTTCCCGTCTGGGTTTCGGGGAGTCTCCCCTCCCTCTTACACCACTTTTGCATCTGGGTAGGTCTAGCAGCTTCCGTGGGGAACCATCTCTTAGCAACGCTCACAAAACCAAAATGAAATGAAATAAAACCCCCACACAGACCTGAGGCAGAGGCCACGCTGCAGCCCACCTGCAACGGGGGGCACTCGGGAATTTACACCAACAGCCATGGATTTTCAGGCAGGGAAAAGGGAAAAAGCTCCAAAACATTTAAAATCTCTGCTTCATGGAGTTATACACACTCTCCCAGCAAACTGGAAGGAAATACCAGCAACCTCAGCGCTTCTCGTAGGTACACCACCATCACCACTGGCTGTGACTGTCACCCCAAAGAGCTGGGTGAGGGAAATGTGGGGCTGGGAGAGGCGCTGCCCACTGGGATGCGTTTCCCCTGGTGCCATCACCAGTGCGTGCCCCATGGCAGCACCCCCCGGGGACCAGCACCCACCGAGCTCACCACAGCTTTGGGATGTGGCACTGGGAGGAGCTTCCAAACGAAGAGCAGTGTCAACAGGTGGGAACCCAGAGTCACAGAATGGTCAGGGTTGGAAGGGACCTCTGGAGATCACCCAGTCCAACCCCCTGCCAGAGCAGGTCCACCCAGAGCAGGCTGGACAGGGCCACATGAGAGATCACCCAGTCCAACCCCCTGCCAGAGCAGGTCCACCGAGAGCAGGCTGGACAGCTGGGGAGCCTGTTCCAGGGCTCTGCCACCCTCACAGCAAAGAAGTTGTTCCTCTCTCATGTTGAGATGGAATTTCCCATGTCCTAGTTTGTGCCCATTGCCCGGTTTGTGCCCATTGCCCCTTCTCCTGTCCCCATGCACCACCGAGAAGAGTCTGGCCCCATTCTCTTGCCCTCACCCTTTAGCTATTGCTCAGCATCGATGGGATGCCCTCTCAGTCTGCTCTTCTCCAGCTGAACAGCCACAGGGCTCTCAGCCTTTCCTCGTCAGAGAGATGGCCCAGTCCATCATCATCTTCATAACCTCCTCTGGACTCTCTCCAGTAGTTCCCTGTCCTCCCTTTCACCTCCGTTGGTGAAAGCATCGCTGCAGCAACACCGGGGCAAGCGGTAGCCAAGGCACCACAGGGCATGGCCATGCCCCCCTGCACACCCCCATGCTGTGGGGTGCAGCCATATGATTTTCTGCAATATATGAGAATTTGCCCTTGGGGGTGCAGACAAGTGGCAGTGGGAACATCAGCCCACGCTGCCACCCCAGCACACAGCCCCAGCCCGAGAGCAGCCCCAAAGCCTCTGCCCCACAGAGGCATCTTTCTCCTCTCTCACCCAACCCAACCACTATGAAGTGTCCCAAACCCATTAAGCTCGACACGCCCCAAACTGGAACAAGCCAGAATGATTTACGAGGTACCGAGGTTGGCATTTGGGGACAGTTTGTCCTTGCTGAGCTCTGAGGACAAAGTCTTGTTTTGTTTGCTTATATGGAAGCTTTATTTTCCCCTCGCAGCCTGCGACTCGCGCAGCAAGCTCTGCCAAGGGGCACGAGTCTGCTCCGGGCTGAGGGACAGGGATGCTAGAGGTGACCCCAGAACAGCCCCTGATTTTCGTGGGCTTTGTAAGCTCAGAAAAGCATGAAAACCCCACACGTCAGAGCCAAGAAATTCCCTTATTCGAAATGATTGTGTCCGTTCCCGCAGAGGGGACGCGTGACGTGTGTTGGATGTTGTCCCTTTGCCTCTCTTCAAAGCAGGGTTCAAATGACTCTGAAGGGTCAGAACCTGTTTGTTCAGGCTGCTGGCGAGTCTCTCCCCTCGCTCTGAGGGACACTCTAGAGCATGAACCAACCACTTTAACTCTATTCAATTAACATCTCATCCACCTTCCCATTTCTGAAAGCCCCACCCTGGTGCTGCCATCGAGCACCAAGTCTTCGTTACTGCCCCGAGAGCAAACGGCTCTGTCCTACCACCCCAAGGCCCAGGGTCTGCGAGGGGAGAGGAGCAGAGCTGCATGTCAGGGAGCCAGGAGGAAGCACTGACATCACGGACAGACGTCTGCAGCTCTGCTGACTCACCCCTTTCCCCCCTCCATCCCCCAGCAGGGAAAACACGTCCCAGCACCAGGAGCCTTTCCCACCGCAGCCCACGTCGCTGTTGGTAGCCCCCTGGTTGAGCAAGACGTGGGGAGCTCACGTGGGGAGCCCCTTCCTATTTCTGGACCCTGGGTGAGGTGGATGGAAATCACAAGGCTCCCGGTTCCCGTGGGAAGCCATTAATAACCTCCTATATGCCGTCACATCCTCTAACGTGCGTGCTATTATGGGATGCCAAGAGAGAATCCGTTGGGTTGGTTTCTGATCAACACCTATAAATACTTAAAGGGTGGGTGTCAAGAGGATGGGGCCGGTCTTCTTTCAGTGGTGCCCAAGGATAGGAAAAGAGGAAATGGGCACAAACACGAGTATAAGAAGTTCCATCTAAACATGAGGAGAACTTCTTTACGTTGAGAATGGCAGAGCCCTGGCAGAGGCTGCCCAGAGAGGTGGTGGAGTCTCCTTCTCTGGAGACATTCAAACCCCACCTGGATACATTCCTGTAGGACCTGCTCTGGGTGGACCTGCTCTGGCAGGGGGTTGGACTAGATGATCTCCAGAGGTCCCTTCCAACCCCATGGGATTGTGTGATATGTAAGCACATGGGGCTCCTTCCCCCACGCTGCCCACCAGGCACCACCAGGACGGTCCCACCGTGCCCAGCCCTGGCACGGCTCAAGAGGTGACTTTGTGCCAATGTCCCCACTGCTGACAGTGCTCTTGGGAAGGAAATCCTCCCACGTGCCCTCGACGGCTGCGAGGGAAATAAAGGCAACAGTTCACTGAGACGTGCCTGCTTCATACCAATTGATATAAAGAGCTTATATTAACGGATCTCACTCAGATGCAAATCCCCTCTTGTAAACAAACCTTACGGGTCCCAGCCCCAGTCTCTAAGGCAAGTTCCAATCTGATTAGTTACTGCACATGCCTTAAATTCCCCATTATAGTTACCAAGGAATAAAACTATAAACTATCTTTTTGATGAGACATATTAAACACTTACTGAATTTCACCTTGAGGCACCCTTTCCAGTGATATTTAGTGAAACCGGGACCTCTTCTGGGTGAAAGACAAGTACTTTAATTTGTTTCTTTGCCCTAGTTGTTCTCCAGACCACCACCCACGCACCGCAGCCCGAGACCTCCCCAACAGTACAGCACACACTGAATTATATCTCCCACATACACGCCGCTGCTGACTGTTTTTGGATGCCTGCCTAAACCAGAGAGCACAGCACAAGGTGCACAGTTCAGTATATTAAAAAATGGGAGAAGGAATTAATGAGAAGGGTGCCCAGCAACAGTTTTCCGACTTAACTCTGGAAAGCATCTGTGGGAAAAGCACTTTGTTGAGGCGAGCTTACCTGGGGGGGATGAGGATTGAGCGTTGCTGCAGGAACAACAGGCGTGTGTGGAGTCTGTGAACTCTGGAAAAGCAGTCGGATGAGGAAACACCATCACCCCTACGCAGGAAACACATTTGTTGGCTGGTGGTTTAAACCTGGTTAAAAACAAACGGATCTACAGGCTGCTCCTCTGCAGCTCAAGGAGCCCTGAGGAAACTCTCCCAGCTCCTTTGAGCACGAGCCTTTCACTGATACCCACTTTCTTTTCCCATATAATTATTTTTTCCCCTTTTAGCTTCAGCCCTGGGCCCCTCTGTGCTCCCCAGAGCAGTGAAGTGGTTCCAGGTCACCTCAGTGGGTACATGCCCATCAGTAAAGAGGACTTGATCCTGGGTCAAAAATAGCCCGACTTCTTTCCCTTGCCTCTTATGTCACTTTTTTACTGTAATGTTTAAAAACAGGCAGAGAGAAACAGGAAAATGATCCAACTATGAGAGCTAATCGAATATTAAGAAGTATATATGTCATTTATTTGGGTTTACTCCCTCTCTTTCTAAGTAAAACAGAGACCCTAAGTGGTACCTGAGGGGGTTCATACAGAGGTGTGGGCTTTGCTTCTCTTTTCTTGCTTCGAGTTAGACTCACAATCTCAGTTCAGGAGGAAAGGTCCCTTTCCAGTAATGAAAATCTCCCAAACGTGGACTGAATCATTTGGCCCTGCAGTAGAAGACAGTAAAAGATGCATTTCTGGAACAAAAAGGAAAAAAAAAAGCTTTTCATTAAAGGTGAGCCCAGTTCCCCAGGAGGTTTCCAATGGCAATTCAACTCCTTGCCCAGGAACTGCAGCTTGTCAGCGGCAGGCACTGGGAGAAGAAAAGAAGAAATCATCTCAAACCTGTTGATGGAGCAGTAGACACACACACACTTGGCCATCATGTCTCCTTGATGTCCCTTCCCAAGGGAGAGCAGCTCTTCTGCCAGCCCCAGGACTTCCCAACCAGTACAGAACAAACATCTCCCCCTTGGCCTGGAGACACCAGAACGGGAACATTAAATTCATCACAGAAAATGAAACTGTGGGTGCCCCATACCTGTGTGAGGGGCAGAAGCTCCTGGAAGCTGCCGAGTTGCACTGAAACCAGTGCAAGTAAAGGAGGAGCCTGAGGGAAAGAGAAGAGCCAGTGCTGGAACCCTGGTGATTTTGGCATTGAAAGCGTTACAGAAAACATGCCATCCAGTTCCTCTGAGGCTTCAATTTCCCTCCCCCCAATCTTCCTTTGATTTTCACCCCCTCCTTTCCTCATGTCCTTTGAACTTTTAAAAAGGCGCTTTGAAGACATGTCGTAAAGCAGCATTTTTATTCAGCATCTCCTCTTTGATGCTCCTGCTGCTGTGAGTGAAGTGCAGCCGCGCAGGATGCGGAGCTGGAGGAGCCGAAAGCCCCAACGGGAAGGAAAGGAGAGAAAAGTAAAAGTGTGGACACGGTGTTTGTCAGCAGCTCATGGGGGACACGCCAGCAGACACTGGCAGCAGCCCTTATTCCTGCCAAATGTGCTGATTTCTGGGCTGTACAACCTGGTGTGATTCTACCCAACCTCCAATATACCAATCCTCCCATGGCACCACAGGTGGGCAAAGCCCAAGGGGAAAGAGATGGGAATGAAGGAGAGAAGTCACTCTGGGAAGTCCTTCATCCCAAATGCCATCCCCATCTCATACTCCCGAGACCCAAGATTTAGGAAGAAAGTGCCAGAAGAGGCCACCTACCCTGGGAAGAAGAAGGAACGAGCAGCCCATCCTCTGGTCCTGTCCCTTCTCCTGAGTATCTGCCTCCAACCTGGGGGGTTTAATTTGGCCTCTCTGCATCCAAAACTGCTGGTCAAAGGCAGCTGCCTGGCCCAAACCTGTCCTGTTGCAAGAGCTGGTCTTCAACAGATAACACAATCATTCTAAAGAGAGAGGACACGCAGCTATTTTGAAGTAGTTGCTAGATGCAAGATTTACTGTATCCTTAACTCTATTCACTGGTTCTTCTGTGTCAAATCTGTGTCACTTGCATTTAACCAAATCCTGGTTAACCAAATCTCATAATTTTGAATCTCAGGGGATGGAGATGTTCTTAAAGTGCAGAAAGTGGGGATACTATGGTGTGGGCAAAATCTTAATTTAAGTTTTAAAAAGATTTCTCACCACACTGGTTAGTGCAGAACAGCTGAAAATAAACAAGCCAAAAAAACCCCAAAACCTAATTAAATGATAATAATAATGAACTAATGTAAGTAAAATGAAACTTATTGCAGGTTTAAGTATTATGAACTCTAACCCTTGAATTATAACCCAGCCCTCTGATGAGGAGATATGTCCCAACTCCCAGCATTTGAGATTTTTGACACTGAAATGCCACCACAAGCTGCCCTGGATGTCCTTGCCACCAGCCAGTCCCTCCCTGCTCCCCAAACACCAAACTGAGCCCCAAGGGTCACCGGGGGGGTTCTCTTACAGAAACCCCAGTCCCCAGCATCCAGGCAGGATGGGGATGGGCTGGCTCTTCTTGTGAGAAGCCCACTCCAACACACAAGCAGGAGGTTTATCCTTCTGAAAAGGGATGGCTCAAACATGATGCTAACTACTTGCCACGGCAGATAGCATCTGGGCCACGTGCTGTGGAACTGCCACTGGGTATTATTGGATCTGTCTGTTGGGGAGAGACAGAGAGACCAAAGAAAGGATTACAGGCAACCATATTATTCTGCGTTTACAGCTACTTAAACATTGAGTCAGTGCTACAGGATTATATACATTTGATATTTCCTGGATCAGGCAGCCTGTGTAATCCATCGTGATCAAAGTTACAAGGAGGTTTTTTCTCTTAAAAAAACACCAAATCCCACCTTCAAAATAACTCTGCCAGCAAGCAGGTGATATTCCACCAAACTGTCATGGAGTTGTCAGAGTTGGAAGGGACCTCTAGAGATCCTCTAGTCCAACTCCCCTGCTAAAGCAGGGTTGCCCAGAGCACATCACCCAGAAGGGGCTTGAAGATCTCCAGAAAAGGGGACTCCACACCCTCCCTGGGCAGCCTCTTCCAGGGCTCTGCCACCCTCACCCCAAAGAAGTTACTTCTCATGTTTGAATGGAAATGACACTCTATTTCTCCCAGCATCAAGGAGTCTCCCTTCATGGTTTAGAAGCCGAAGTCACAGTCTCCATCACCACCACTACTATCAACTCCCAGTGTGCCCATCCAAGGGCACAGCCCACGGGAAAGCAGAGTAACCAGCAGAAGGAAGAGGATGCAGAGCTCACCTCCAGCTCTTCCCACCCACCAAAGCCCATTGCTCCCATCACACTTTCCATATTACAATGTCTTCCCCTCCAACTGCACAGCTCAGGGCTTAGGCTGGGCAACATTCTTTTCCCTTCCCAAGTTTTCTTTCTGAATTAGACTTGGACATTTCTGCAGTGAAGCTGTTTTTGCATCGCAGGCCCCCGTGGCACGACGCCACCGGCCGGAGCCTCTCAACTTTATTTAACCTTTGTGTAGGGAATTGCATTAACTCATCGCAAGAGAACCTCTCGGCAAGGGAGAAACAGATGTTCAGGCATTAGATAAGCTGTAAGCAAGTCCACGGTGTTTATCAGCAGGGATGTGGGGTTGGTTTGGGTTTTGTTATTTTTAAAGGCTGACCAGTGGTAGGAGTTATTCGGAAATAAGTGCAAATTATCCTGAAAACTGCTTGAGGGGCTTTTGAAAGAATGTTTTTCCTCAGTTGTTCCTTTTTACCTGCAATACCAATTACTTACTTTTTTTTTTTTTTAATATATATAAATTACAGCCAAGTATCTGCTCCTGAGACTGAATGCAGATGCAGCTGGAACAGAAAATTTTAACTTGCTTCCAACCTGGGAATTTTGCACTTTAAACTCAAAATAAGGAGAGAGCTTTATTTTAAAGACACATGTCCCTTAACAAAAGACAAATATATTTCCAGAGGGGAACCCTACAGTGTTCCTGAGAAACCAGTACTGCAGAAAATAGCAAAGTTTAAAGAGCTATTATGATTCTACTGCGCATTTATTGAATTATCTCCGTTTAACACACTCTTCCCTGCTTGGTCTTTAAAAAAAAAACCCACTAAAATATCCATGTTCAAATTATTTCTCTTGATTTTGTCTGACCTGTCAGGCATCTGTTGGTTGTGCTCAGAGCTCAGACCCTCTGCTCTGCAATTTAAGCCAAAGCAGGTCTCTGGAGGGAAAATCTGGCCATCCCTTCCTGGTGAAGTGTGTGTACACAGCCACAGACACACTCGCACCCGGGTGGAACCTCCTGATGGAGTTTCTCAAAGCGCTTAACGTGCAGCCGGTAATTTCGGGGCAGACCCGCTCCCTCTGCTCAGAGATGTGGGTTTGAGCCAACGGACTGAAACCCTGCACAAACCACGGCAAAGTCACTCGTATTTCAGTCGATAACTGGCCGACTTCTTACATAGATAGAAACCAAACTATTGCACCAACTGCAGCACCGACAGATGAGTTCTGGTGGGTCCCCACACAGCCTTTTGGAAGTTACTGTCCTGACCAATGTCAGTGGGACCAAACTTCCAATCTACAGAGGGAAAATAACTTGTCCAAAGCCACGCAGACACACAGTTCTACGTCTCAGAAGTCGTGGATAAAGGAATTGTAATTGCAACTCAGCAAATTCAATAGAATCAATTTAAGTTATATATTTATACACACACACACTCTCTCGAAGGAGAATGAGATTCAGGGGGTGACAGCCCCTCTGTGCTCAGGATTGTCCTCTTAAAGTGTTCAAAAGAGAGGCCAGGCCCTCTGTGGTGCCACGAGTTACCAACACCCACGCAAAGCAAGTCCTGCCCAGGAGATCTTGGAGAGGACAAGCAAGATCTGGCCAAGCAACCACAGCTCTTCTGGGTGCCACCAAGCAGTGCTGGGAAGCGCCACAGCAGCCTGGTTCCTCTGGCAGCAGCTGCCTTCACACAAGGAGGCTTGAGTAAATCCACCAAAGAGAAAAATTTTACATAGTCAAATGAAAACCCAGTATGTTTTGAAGGGCATTTTGTTTTACTAACCTACAGCAGAATTTTTAAGACATGCCCAAACATCTAAAGCTGCAAACATAAAAGCTGGCACTACCGAGAAACCCAGTGGCCAGCCTGCCTGCAGCTTAGCTCCCCAAACATCACCCAAACCTCCAGCCCTGAGGTTTTCATCTTCTCTAAGCCCTGCTCTCCCACGCACAGGAGGCATCTCCCCCACGCTGCCCCAGGGCTTCCCAAGGACGTGCACCAAGGGGAGGGCAGGGGAGGAGAGAGCTCGGCGCCCGCCCTGCCACCGCCAAACCCACTCTTCAGCAAACTAGGTCAAATTCAAAGGCTTTGCTCCCAGCTGAAGGTCACTACTGTCTCCCCAGCCCGCGCTGGGCCAGCTGAAATGTATTTACACTGAGAAGATGCAGAGAGGTTTTGGAGCTGGAAGTGGTTGGAGGAAAAACAGGCTGTTAAAGAGAGCGTGTGCATGAGCGCGCATCCGAAACGATGAATGTAGAGGGAGGAAAGAATTAAAAAAAACAAATCATCAGCCATTTCCCTCAAAGGGCAAGAGCACCGGCACTGCCTTCCTCGCTCCCGGTCAATGGCTTGTAGGTGTTCCCGGTGCAAACCACAGCATTCACTGGAGGTAAAGGTCTTGGATAACATTTGCAGAGCACTTTGACACAGAAAGCCCAAATCCCCCTTAACGGAGGCAAAGTCTGACAAAAGCATAATGGAAATAGGCTTCCGACGGACAAAAAAGTGACTCCCTGGCACACACACAAGCCCACGCAAACTTTCCGGCCTGCCCTCCAAGTGTGAGCACTGGTGTTTCCATTAAGCGCCTGAAGGCTCAGAAAGCATCCAGAGAAAAAGTAAACTCACAATTAGACCGAGGCATGATTTCTGTGCTCAAATGTCTACGGAATTATTACAAGTAGTTTTGCAACAGGGGTGAAGATGACCCTGTAAATTTGAGTGGCTCTTCTGACTGCCATACAGATAGGAACGCAGATTGAGCCGTCTGAGAGCATTTGTCTCAAATCAGTGTTAGCAAGATCTGCGTGAGGAGACTTCATACAGAGGAAGGTTGGAAACAGCCCTAGGTCTGGAGCCACGCTGAGCTTTGGGAAAGCCCAACTGTGGACCAGGCTGCCTCCCCTGTCCCTGTCTCCCCAGCATGACCCCACCACCAAGGTAGGCTCCCCGGAGCCTCAGGAAAGGGACACATGATGACATGGAGGTTGCATCACGGCCATCATTCACGCATTCTAGAGACCAGCTCTTCTGTCCCGATGGCCTGGCTGTGAAAGCTATAGCATTGCCTGCACGGGAAAGTTGTGTTAGAAGACTAATTAATGTATTTTGGCTGTCTTCTCATGGAACCCGGCAGCTGGAAGCAGGCACGGAGCCAGCGCCACGTGACCGCTCAGTTCTTCCTTGGACACGTTTCAGGAATCTCTTTGCTGAAGCATTCAGTTGTCCTGCACCACTTTTTTTTTTCCCCCCCTCCCCAAACTGAACTAATCAATGTCTGGCTGCTAGTTATCGTGGAGGGACGGGGAGAAACACGCACGGAAAAGCTGTTGTACATCAACCGCTGTATTATAAATATGCTAGTGATACAGCCATACACGGTATTTTGCTCCACCATTTATCTTCACGCAAGCAGAAAGGCTCTAAGCGGATGAGTGTCTGCCGTGGAGAGCAGTTTTAACCGAGGTTATTGCATTCTTGACTTAAGCCCATTTTTCTGGTTTCCATGCTAACGTCAATGAATTTAAAAAGGGAGCATTGAGTCCGGACCTTCCAATTCAGACAAAATACAGTATCTCTCTATACGGGGATTACACTCTCGCTTGGCAGAGGGATGAATCCAATGGATTCCT